CCGTCCCGATTTTTTCCCAAAACCCCCCCCCCCCCCTTTACTATGTGCTTTTTTTTTGTAGGCGGTATGCCCCTCGCTGCTCAGTTTGCGGGGATCCGATTGCCCCCGAGCCTGGCCGGGATGAGACGGTGCGGGTGGTGGCTCTGGAGAAGAACTTCCATATGATGTGTTACAAGTGTGAGGTGAGATTGTACACTCTTTCCATCCCATTTGCAAATTGCACAAACGTTTTGTGTGTCTTTATCCCAATAAACTCCTAATGCTGGGTTCAAACCTAGGCGTATCGAATATGCGTGTTTGTCGCGCATTTCGCGATGCGTGTTTTACCGCGATTCACGGTTAAAAAAAACGCGTTTCCGAGGGCTACTTGGCTGTATCCCAATGGAAACGCGCAACAAAAACGCCCCAAAGAAGCTCCTGTACTTCTTTGGGCGTAGGACGTTTTGTAGCGCGTTCATAGGGCCTGTAATACGCCCAGGTGTGAACCATACCCATAGGAAATAATGGGATTTCGGTGTTTGACCGTTTTGCAGAGCGTTCGAACGCGCTACAAAACGCCCAAGTGTGAACCGGGCCTTAATGTTCTATTTAATAACCTTTGTTTACGGGGCAAAAGTATTATTAAAACTTCTGGTTACTAAACTCATCTATACTTTTACGTTTCCTGCCCCTCGGTCCTCGGTCTTACCTTGTCTTAAAGTTATGTTTATTTCCTCTACTGCATTATTGGGTTTCTTATTTTGGCAGGTATAGTAGAGTGTCTATGAATCAAGGTGGAAACTTTGGATTTAAGGCAATACCCCTTATTGGCCAACTCAGATTTTTAAAGAAGGCTGTCAAGGAGACCTAACATGATTTGAAAACCTACATTTGTTTTGAGTTGGCCAATATAGGGTGAAAAGTACACTGAGTGGTCTAGATAGATAGATAGATAGATAGATAGATAGATAGATAGATAGATAGAGAAAAATTGTGTAAATGGGTGCTCGCAGGGACCACGGAGGCGCCGTGAGAATTTACAAAATTGTAAAGGGTGTCGCCAGCACACCAAGCTGTTAAATTCAGCAAATGTCCATTTTAATGACAGACAATGTCATCCAATAGCAAGTACTTTCGGACCTTGCAGCGTCCCCGTCATCAGGCTCAGAATTGTATTCTGAGCCAGAATCTGATTCTGAGCCTGAGGACGGGGACCCTGCGAGGCCCGAAAGTACTTGCTATTGGATGACATTGTCATTAAAATGGACATTTGCTGAATTTAACAGCCTGGTGTGCTGGTGACATCCTTTACAAGGCCAATATAGGGTGTCACGGACAACGGTCATTATCCACATGGAGAGGGGACAGTCCAGGAGATACCTGAGCATACTTGACGTTGAGTAGACTGTGTGACTTGGGATGCTCTGGAGTTTCAGGAGGTCAGGGCATGACACAGGATGCTCTGACGTTGAGTAGACTGGGTGCTCTGGAGTCACAGGGGTTACTGGGTGACAATAGGTGCTATGGATGCTCTGGAATCATAGGGGTCACAAGGCAACACAGGATGCTCAGGATTCACTGGAGACACAATAGTCACTGGAGTGCACACGTGTCAAATAGTGCCTGGAGGCACAGGAGCTCTGAAGTCACTTGAAGCACGGGGGAACACCAGAGGCACAGACAAATGCTGGATGCACAGAGGGGCTCAGTTTAAGTATAGCAACATGTTGCTTTAGCAATGAGCACTGCACTACCTATCCCTTTAAGCATGCACCAATCAGGAGAACTATCTCTTGAATAGTTGTGGTGCTAGCGCTCAATGTGAAACCCAGAAGTGCCAGTGGCTGCACCCCACAGAGTAGACCCGGCGGCGGATCCCAAAAATGGTGAGTGTGACAAAGGGTATGACTTGAGATCACAATTTTCTTATTATATCATTGCTAACTGGTCCTTTGCACAACCTTACTTTTGTCATCACAACATTTCTTTATATGCTTTGCCTCTCATTCCTTGGACTATTTTTTGGCCTCGCCCATTCTTTGACTTCCTATCCTCTTTCTTGCCTTGGTGTTATATCTTTTTGTTTATCTTCCCATCTTATCTTCTGCTTTGCATCTCCTCTTTTCCCTTTCTATTTAATTCCCTTTTTTATTAGCTGCCTAACTTTCCTTCACCCACCTTTCTGCTCTTCGTTTTGGTCCTCTTCCATTTTTTTCCCATCCCTTCTTTGTCACCATCCCAGAACATTTCCTCAATGTATGTAAGACTTTTACTTCATAAAGCTTAAAGGAGAACAATGGGGTTAGGGCCTTTCCCCATAGTTCTCCCCAGGGTAACGGGAGGTCACAAACTAGCGTCCTCTCATCATCAAAGCTCAGTATACAGCGGGCTACAGCTTGCGGTATACTGAGACCCCGTAGCCGGGACGGATCCCAACATTACTATCGTGATCCGCCCAGCTGCGTGAGTGACAGCTGGCTCTGCCTATCTAGAGGCAGCTGTACCCGCCCCCTCCCCCGTCCGATCAGACAGTCAGCGCTGGAGGATCGGACAGGGGAGGGGGGGATATCTTGCAGAGAGCCTTGAGTGACAGTCACGGCTCTCTGCAGGGTCCCGATCTATTGAGCCGACCTGTAAGTTTCATTGTCACAAGTCGGCTAGAACTATGAGGCTGAGTGATTTTTCACTGGCCTCATAGTTCTCTTTAAAAGCACCAAGATAAGGAACCGTCTTTTCAAAGAAGTGACTGTTCTTGTCAGCTCAATGAGATACAAAAATGACCGTCACGATGCTGATCCGTATCCTGGTGTAAAGCTTGTGAATTGAGCCTGCAGTCAGCATGATCTTGAATTCTTTCTGGTGCAAATTCTAATGTTTTTGGGTCAAATTTATTTAATGAAAAAGTTATTTTAGTCCTGACCATAATCTTTCTTTTCCAAGACCTGTCAAATGAACTATTCCACCCCCCCCCCCTTCTCTCTCC